CACCGAAGGTCCCAGTGGCGCAGCCCGCATGCGTCACGAACACCCATGTCGGCACACCCCTCACATGTTTCGTGGCCCGCACAGGATAGGGAACTCCACCGAAGGTCCCAGGGGCGCAGCCCGCATGCGTCACGCACACCCATGTCGGCACACCCCTCACACGTTTCGTGGCCCGCATAGGATAGGGAGCTCCACCGAAGGTCCCAGTGGCGCAGCCCGCGTGCGTCACGCACACCCATTTCAGCACACCCCTCACACGTTTCGGGGCCCCATAGGATCCCCACCGAAGGTCCCAGTGGCGCAGCCCGCATGCGTCACGCACACCCATGTCGGCACACCCCTCACACGCTTCGTGGCCCCATAGGGTGACACCCCTCACTCCTTTTGTGGCCCCATAGAATCCTCACCGAAGGTTCAGTGGCGCAGCCCGCATGCGTCACGCACACCCATTTCGGCACACCCCTCACACGTTTCGTGGCCCCATCGGGAGACACCCCTCAAACGCTTCGGGGCCCCATAGGGAGCTCCACCGAAGGTTCCAGTGGCACAGCCAGCATGCGTCACGCACACCCATGTCGGCACACCCCTCACACGTTTCGTGGCCCCATGGGGAGCTCCACCGGAGGCCCCACCGCCCGCACGCGTCCGCCACACCCATGTCGGCGCACGCCCCGCACGTTTCGTGGCCCCATAGGGAGCTCCATCTAAGGTCCCAGTGGCGCAGCCCGCATGCGTCCGCCACGCCAATTTCGGCACACCATTCACACGCATCGTGGCCCCATAGGGAGCTCCACCGAATGCCCCAGCCACCGCCCGCATGCGTCACGCACACCCATGTCGGCACACCCCTCACACGTTTCGCGGCCCCACAGGGAGCTCCATTGAATACGGTATTTGCATTTGCGGTTCGCACAGCTGCATATGGCCGGGTCCTTCACCAGGCTAACTTTTTCTTCGGGTGCCACGACTGCGCCCTGGGAGTTCCGCTTGTATACAGACGGGAGTGGCCCTGCGTCGGGAGCCCCTGAGGCCGCCAGGTGCGGTTGGTCCGCGCTTGCCTCTTCCACCTGGTGGATGGCCGCTGAGGGCCAGCAACGGAGCCCCTGCCGGGCCTACCCAGGCGGTCCCGCGGGCGGAACGCCAGACCATCCTCCGTGCGTCGCGCGTCGGGCCGCGGGGCCCCGGAGGGGTCTCGGACCTTCTGCCTGCCGAGCACGAGGGGGAGTCGCGGGGCCAAGAGCTGACCGCTGGCTCGGCCAGGCACGCCTCGGTTTGGCGCCAGGCGTTTGAGTTGCATCGGGCAAGACCTGAGAGGTCTGTTTTCCGCTGGACCCTTACCCGCCGCGATGTAGAGCAGGCCCTTGAGGACCAGGCGCTCAGCGGCGAGTCCCCAGGCCTAAGTGCGGTCGATTGCATCGGCAACGCCTGGGCCGATTTCTTTGCGCGACTGGGGGGCTGCCGAACACGAGCTCCTCAAAGTTTCGGCGACTCAGCTTCGCGAGTCGCTCAAAGTGCGCCATTGAACCCTGGATTTCCTGTCGAGAGCCGCGCAGCACGCTGCCGCCTCTGCCCCAGAGGTGCCGACTTCATCCAGCGCCCCAATTTGTTTTGCTTTCTCGCGATCTGGAGATGGTGGAGGGGGCGACGGGGGTGCGAGATGCGCGCGGCGCCGCGCGAGTTGCACGCCGATTGCGCCCCATCTGCATCTCGCGGCTGCGTGGGCCTGGTTCTGCGATGCTTCTGCGAGTCAGGCTCGGTTCATGGACGAGGTCCTCGCTGGGCGCGAGCCGCGGCCACCACCTTGCATAGGGTAAGTTCGGCGCACTGCGCCGGGCCTGCTCTGGCAGAGGTGACGGAGCGGCTCGCGCGCACCCGCGCGCGCTTATATAAGGGCAGTGCTGGCCTTCCAGCGCTGCCCTGAGGCGCGGCCTCCTCCGTCCCAGCGGCTAGGGCCCGTTCCCGCGGATGCTAGACCTCGATTGTCCCTTATCCCTTGCCATATGTCGTGCCCGCGTAAGCGCTTTACTGTTTTATCCGCACGAGCTTTCAGACGCGGCGATCGCTTCGCTCAACGTCGGCGAAGCGTATAAAGGAAGAGAAACACGAAGGGGACAGCGGAGGTCCCCCTTCCTCCCTCCCTCCTTCGCCCCCCCTTTTCCCGTCTCCCTCAGCGTTCCGTGCGCCGAGCAGCCAAGCAGGGGATGCACAGTTTGGATGCACAGAGGAGGCGTTGCGTTCGAGAGCAGACTGCGCATCTCTGGCCAGGTGATTTCGCGGCAGACCCGAGCGCCACGTGCGCCTATGTTTCTTCGGCGACCTGGGTCCGCTGAGGCGGTCCCACACCACTATCCAGAAGCTTTAATCTCACAGAGCCCGCGCTCCAAAAGCCCGATCGTGTTGAGCATACACGGAGACGCGTCCCACATGTTTCCAAATTGACCTTAGATCCGTTTCTTTTGCATCACCACAAATTCCTGCACCCGCCCACTCCTTCTATGCAGGCGCACTCCTTTCCTTAACCTGTCAGGTCACGAACGCGAAACGAAGGGGTGGGGAGGGGAGGGGAGGAGAGGGGGGAAGAGAGTGAGGGATAGCAGCTGTCGGCCCTTCATGTATAACCTCACACTCATTTGTCTCTCTCTCTCTCTCTCTTTCTCTTTCTCTTTTTTTTCCTTCCCGCCCCCTTGCCGCATCGCCATCCCGGCCTCCTTCTCGCTCCCTCTCTGCCGCGTGACTCTGGTCCCTGTCCCCCTATTCTGCCTCCCTGCTTCTCCCACCCCCTGCCTTGGCATCGTTCGGACGTGTGCATGTTGTTTGTCTCGGCGAGGATTATCGAGGAGCATCCTAGATCATCGCGCAAAGAAACGACACGCACGAAACCGAAAAATGCACGGGAAATGAACGTCCGAGCAATGGCAAGTTGTCGTCCAGCATCTCTTTTCGCACGTGGCAATATCGGTATCCAGTGTTGCCGCCTCCAGCTTGGCAGACCGTGCCGAGACGCCTTCCGTGGTGACAAAGGCCCGCTGTTGTTGCAGAGCTACGTGCCGTGCACGCTTTAACCCTAATCGCTAATCTGGATGCGCTGCAGGAGATAGACAGACTACGTCCTGCCTTCCCCCTCCCAACTCCACTCGCTCCTCTCCCTGACTTCCCCTTCTGGTGCTCCGCTTCCTCCTCCTCCTCTTCCTCCTCCTCCTCCTTCTCCTCCGCCTCCTCCTCGTCATCATCATCCTTTTCTTCCTCCCAATCCTCCTCCTCCTTTGTTTCTTGCATATGTTCCTGCTCTTCTTGACTTGTCCTTCCTCCTCCGCCCCCTCCTTGTCCTCCACCTCCTCCTCATTTGAGTTAGCCCGACTTAATGAACAAGCTTGTGGCGTTCTTGAGCGAATGTGCGACACAAATCACGAAGTGTACATGACTCCTCGCACGATGTACCTGGCGGGCGCCGCGGAAATTGAGCAACATAAGGCCGAGACGAGAACAGTACAAAGAGTAGGCGCCCGCCAGGTACTAGAGGTCGGCACCAACCTTAGGAAGGTAAGCTCCCGCAGTGCCAGTATCATGTAATAGCCGAGCCTCATATGTTTCAATGGTAGTGCCTGCTCGGTGGGCAAGGTGCAGTAAAAGAAGCGTGCGGAGAGTGCGACGCAATGGCTGGAGACGAGCCTGAATGTAAGCCTGTACCGTAGCAGATAAGCCGAACATACGAAGATAATGACAATACCAGTCCGCATGTTAGGTACAGGTTGCGGGATATGAGAATAAGTATTGATTTGCAGCAGTCACGTGTGCAATGCTGAAGTAGGCTTGTCTGAACAGGCTGGCCTAAGTGTGAAATGTCCCTCTGACCTGCGTAAGCCTCCCGCATGCCAACAGTAGGCCCGTTCTTCGGTCCCTCGGTGCGGGGAGCACCTTCTCTTCTCTAGGCAAGATTGTGAAGTGCACGAAGAGGAGGTGGCTAGACGGTATGCACTTCTTGGGCTGCTACCCACGGTGAGGGGGAGGTATGACTCATAGAAGCATAGGAGGAAGTGGGGAGTGCGTGCAATTCTTGGGCTGCTACCCTGCCAAAAAGAAGTTGCTGCTGTATTGCACACCAGGCTGGCCTGTAGAGTACTGGCGTGCACGTGTCCGGGTGAATGTACGGCAGTGCACGAAGCAAGATACAGGAAGTATACAATTACTGGGCCGCTGCCCTTGGAGTTACATGTAAGAGACCATGTGCTCCGGATCAGTGTGGTCCAAAGAAGATGAGGTATGAGGTAAGTCTCACAAAGGGGAAGGATGGATAAGTGCTGCTGTGCAGCAGGCAAGTATTCAATACGAACGTAGGTTTGCCTGAGCAGGCTGGCCTGAGTGTGAAACGTCTCTCCGGCCTGTGTAGGCCTCCCGCAAGCAAGCAGTAGGCCCGTTCTTCGGCTCCTCGGTGGGGAGGGGTCACCTTTTTTTCCATATTCTAGCTGAGTGTGAAGTGCACGAAAAAGAGGTGGCTAGACGGTATGCATTTCTTGGGCTGCTACCTACGGTGAGGCGGAGGTGAGTCTCATATAGGAGGCAGTAAAGAGTGTGCGCAATTCTTGGGCTGCTACCCTGAGTCTCTCGGAAAGAAAGCTGCCGCAGTGCACGCCAGGTTGGCCTGAGTAGGCTGGCCTGTTTAGTATTGGCGTGCACGTATTCGGGTGAAAGTACGGCAGTACACGAGGCAAGATACAGGAAGCGTGCAATTATTGGACTGCGACCCTTGGAGTTACATGTACGAGGCCATGTGGTTCGGATCACTGTGGTCCAACACAAAAAAGGAAACATGCTGGTGTGGAGCAGGCAAAGATAGCCTGCAATACTTGGGGTGCTGCCCTGAGGTTACTCGCGAGGTACGGAGGTAGAGGAAGATCATTGCCAATCTTGATGTTGCTACCTTTGCTAGCCAGAAACGGGAGCGGGGAGGCATACAATGGGTCGCTTGCATCGTCATAACCATGTGGGATCAAGCCGCCCGAATGGACTTCGGCGGCTGGTTGGGCGCGGCGAACCTCGTTGCGACCTGGGCATCTCACTGTGCCCGCGCCTTCGATATCTCTCCGCCCGAGTGCCTCTGCCGCTGTGAGGTGGCCGCCAGCGCGGCCGCGGGGGCAGCGCCTCGCAGCGGCGCCGACGCACCAGGCCTGGAGCTGGCGCTGGACCGCTGCCTGGGCGCCCTCAGCGCTCCGCCGAGCCCAGCCCCTGCGACGACTACTTGCACGGCGGGGACTCCGCCTCTCTGCGCGCTGCTGCCGCCGCCTGCCTGGGTCGGCCTGGCGGCGCCCCTGCTGCTCGTGGGCTTCGCGCTCGGGGTGGTCAGCCGCGGCTGCTGCGAGCCACGTCCTCGGGCCCGCTCCCCCGCGGGGACGCACCTGCGGCCGGGCGCCTACACGGGCCCCGCGTCGCCGCTGGCCCTCGGGGCCAGCCCTAGCCCCGCGCGATGGCGCGCGCGGCGGCAGGCGCCGCCGGCGTGCCACGGGCACTGGGCGTGCCCAACCCCCAGGTGCTGATCGATTTCTTTGACGACCCCAACGGGTTCTTCTGGCACCATCGCCTCCTCTTGCAGACCGACGGCAAGGGGATGTGGACGGCCGTGACGCCCACAGGCTCCGTGCAGGTGCTGAACCTCGGCCTGCACCGCGCGCTGCCCCTGGATCGGAATGAGATCATTCCAGCACCGTATCGAGACGAGTGCTTCATCTTCGATCCCATCACGGCGGCCGAGCTCGCCGAGTTCGTGAGGCGAGGGCGCACGCTGGCGGCGGTGCGCGGCATCACCTCCATCGGCAGCGCGGCCCCCGACACAGTCAGGCGGATCGCGGACCCGGCTCACGCGGCCTTCGCGTCCGCGGTGCCCGAGGCGGCGATCGCCGATCATGCCTGCTTCGTCGCCCGGGGGCCGAGCGGCCTAGCGATGGTCGACGGCCACTGGGTCCACGCCGAGGCGGTCGAGGTGGGGCATGAGGAGACCTGGCGGCTCGACAAGGTCACGGCCTTCGGCCGCGACCCTCGTGTGACTGGATTGGTTCGCGACCGTCGTGGAGCGCCCTACATCTCGGAGGAGGGCGCCTTGACTCGCTTCGAGAATACGAAGATCGAGCACTTCCCCTTCGCGGGGCCTCGGGCGGCCGTCGAGCTCTTGCAGAGCTTGCGGGCCCAGGGCCAGTCGCTCGCGTCTCACCGCCACGAGTGGTCCAGGAAGTCGGGTGTCAACGTCAACGGCGCCGCGGCCCGCGAGCACTTCTTCCTCTCGGAGGTGCTCCGCTGGGAGGTGCAGTTCGACCAGCTCGACGTCTCGATGCTGGCCAGCACGGAGCTCCTGTTCCTCCGCCTCGTGCAGATCGAGGCGGCGGTCCGCCGCAACCCCGAGGTCCCCGACTTCACTGGGTTGGGCGTCCTGGCGAGCGCGTCCACCGACGAGAGCGGAGCTGCCACGACGGCGGCGTTCTCCCAGTGGGTCGCGGACCGCCAGAAGGATCAAGCTACCATCGCGAAGCAGGGCCGCCTGCTCCGCGAAGAGAAGGACGCCGAACGGAAGCGGGCCGCCGACCCAAAGAACAGGGGGTCGGGGTCCGCGGACACATGACTACGTCTGCGGGAGGCGCTCGCCCCGAGCTGGCTGATCTGGCCGCCCAGCCCAGCTCGGCGTCTCCCTTGACACTTGGCCCGAATTTACACGTGCACGCTCTTCGGCAGGCGGGTCCCGCCACGCCCTCGCACGCAGACATCTTCCCTCTTCCCTGCCCCGGTCTTGAGCATCATGACTGTCGCCAGCGTCGCGCAGCTGCCCGAGCTGCATCTTGCCGTCGAGCACGGCATGCTGGCGTAGCGGAGTCGATCGTCGCTCTCAACGCATTGGCATCGGTTTCCGCTCAGTCGCCTTTGGCTACTATCGTCGACCCGCCCTCCCGCGTCCCCAACGTGCCGCAGGCCTCGGTGATCTCACGGGTTGGGCGGAGAATTCCGCGGTGGGGTGACACACCTAGCACCTCCCCGAAGGAAGCCTTGTTTGAGCTTCTCAAGACCACCGACTTATACGACACAGAGCCACAGGGCCTCGAGGTCTTCGACGCTGATCGCTTGAAGGTCTTGAAGCGCCCCACCAACCCCAAGCCGCTGGAATCTGTGCTGACGGGCCATGCGCTCACGCAGTACCTCGAGTCCGAGCGGCACCTGGAGCGTTCCGCCGCCGAAGTGGAGGCGCGCATCCAGGACGGGCTGATCACCCCAGTGAAACCGTACTGGGACCCGAAGCTCCGCTCCTATCGCAGCGCCCTCTTCGACTTCCTGAAGGGCCTGCTGGCCTGCGGGCTGGGCGGACTCCGGACCTCGATCAGAGCCCGCATCGCATTGTTCTTCCGTGCCAAGGAGGACGGGGCCCAGCGCATGATCGTGGATGCCCAGGAGACGAGCCAGCTCATGCGGGAGCCCCCGCGCGCGCAGCTGGGGGGCCCCGGCGCCCTCCGCGACCTTGACCTGAGTGAGACCGCCTTCGAGGTCGCGGGCTGCGACCCGCGGGCCGCCGACATCCACATCGCCAGCCTGGACCTGTACCAGGGCTTCTACCAGTGCCGGGCCAAGAGGCTGGGGCGTTGGTTCGGGGTGGAGTTCGGTTTCCCTGCCCGCGACTGGGGCGCCACCGCCTGCTACGACGAGGATGCGGAGCGCGACCTGCCCGTCGACGGCGACACCACGCTGCACTTCGTCATGGAGGTGCTCTGCATGGGCTTCAGCTGGGCCCTCTACTCCTGCCAGGCGATCATGGAGGATACCGCCCTCGCTGCCGCAGGCCCTCGCGCCTGGCCCCCTGGTCGCCCCCACCTCCCGCTGGGCGGCTTGTTGCGCGAGGGCGCCCCCGTGCCCCTGGTCGCTCCTGGTCGCCCAGTCTTCTCGGTGTACGTCGACAACGGCGCTGTGATCGGCTTCGACCGCGAGGGTACCGAGCGCGGCCTCGACCTGTACCTGGCTCGCTTGGAGGAAATGGGGTTCATCGTCCACGACATCGAGCGGGCGCAGACCGCGCTCGCGGTGGTTGGCCTTCGCTTCCTGGGCGGCTCTCAGCTCCAGCTCCTGCCGACTGAGAAGTACACCTGGCGGCTTTACCTGGCCCTGGGTCGCCTCATCGAGCAGGGGGGGTGTCCTGGCGTCGCCCTCGAGCGCGTCGTCGGCCACATCGTGCACCACTTCCGCCTGATGCCCTGGGGCCTCTCCGCCTTGGACCACTGCTACCGCCTTCTCCATCGGCACAGCCGGCGTGAGTGGGGGTGGTTCAGTGCGTCCCTGACCGAGGAGCTCCGGGTCCTGAAGGGGCTTGTGAAGCTGGTCGATGTGGATCTGGCGGCGCGGCGGGCTCCCATCGCGTTCTCGGGCGACAGCTCGTTCTTCGGCTGCTCGCTCTCCTTCGCGCGGGCGCCCGCCGCCGACATCCTGGGCGCCAACGCGTGCGCGAGCGCTGGAGGTTCAAGCTCGAGGAGGCCAACCTCATCGACGGCCCCTCGGACGGCGACCGCATCGACGCCTACGCCCCGCACTAGGCGGAGGCCTTCGGTTCGCTGGGGCTCGACATCGCGGGCATCGCGGAGCAGGGGGTCACCTCGTCATCTTCGCGACGACGGCGGACTCCCTGCCGCGTCGTGGAGGCGTCGGACTCCTTCCGCGCCCTGGACGACTCCTGGACGGACCCCACCCGCTGGCGCAACATCGTGAAGGGCGGCTGGGCTTACCACAACGCCATCCACCTGAAGGAGGCTCGCGTCGCGCTCATGCAGCTTCGGCGCGCGGCACGCTGCACCGCGGTGCACGGCATGCGCCTGCTGGGCCTCACCGACAACCTGAGCGCGTTGCTGGCCTTCATGAAGGGCCGGGCCGCGGACTTCTGGCTGCGGCTCCTGGCGCGACAGGCGGCGGCCCTGGCTATCGGCGCTGAGATCGCGTGGCACTTGCGCTACATCGAGAGCGCCCGCAACTGCACGGACTGCGACTCGCGGGCGGCCGACCGCGGGGAGGTCGGCCCGGGCCAGGCTATCTTGGGCGCTACTCGCGCCTGCCGCCTCGCCCTGGACGCCGCCGAGTGGAGCCGCCCGCCGCCGCTCGCCCCAGGAGGGCCTGAGGCCGGCGAGCCTTGGCCGGCCCCCGCGCCCCGCCAGGTCCTGCTGCTGCGCCCGCTGCTGTTCGCCAAGTCGGCTGACGGCGGCTCATTGCAGCGGCTGGGCTTCTGGGCGCCACGGCCGCCCCGCGGCCGCGCTGGCGACGGCAAGACTGCTACGTGCTCTACTTCTTCGAGGCGGGCGCGCCTGCCGCCGCGGCTGCACGCGGCGGCGCAGCCGCCTCCTGAGCCGGTGACGGGCGCACGCCGTCGCCTGTCCGAGCGCCCTCCTCCTCCACGCGCACCTCGTGCCGCGCAACGGGCCCGGGCGTTCCTGGAGGTCTACTCGGTTTCATCGGCTCTCGTGGGCTCTGGGCTTCGAGCACTGCCTCCTGTGGATCTCGAACGGGCCCCCTACTTCGACCTGCACTCCTGGAGAACCCTTCGGGTCCTTGATGGCTGGCTACGTGACGGGGCCGTCTGGTGGGTGCATCTTGGGACGCCTTGTACTGCGAGAAGCACAGCACGACACGGACCTCTCTCCTCCGCCGACGCTCGGCGGGCAGCTCTCGACGTCCGCATCACCCGAAGGCTGATCAATTTGTGTCAGCGGCTTGGCATCTTCTGGACACTGGAGAACCCGCTAAGCTCACGCCTGTGGGAACATGAGCTCGTTCGTCCGCTCCTCAAGCTGCCTCAGTCCGTCTTCGTCCGTCTGGACATGTGCGAGTTCGGAGCTCACTACCTCAAGCCTACCGGCCTCTTAGGTACACTCCCTGGTCTCAGTGGGCTCCATCGGGTGTGTCGGGGGAACCACTATCACGACATCCAGGAGGGAAAGGTCTATGTTGCTCCCTCGACCCAGCCAGCCGCCGCCTCGCAGGCTCGAGCGGTTTGGCGCACCACTCTGGCCGGGGCCTACCCGCCCGGCCTGTGCCGAGCCTGGGCCGCCATTGCCGCCTCGGCAGCTCCTCGCGGCTCGCGGCTCGGAGCGGCCGAGGACGGATACGCAGTGGGGCGCGGTCAACGGCGCGCTGCGCTACTCCGGGCCGCAGGAGTCGACGCCGCCACCGTCGGGCCCCGCCTCGACGTCCTCCCGTCCGACGGCCGCCGAGTGGCCCTTGGGGGCCCGATCCTGGGGAGGACGCGACCACCGCTGGGTCGCGCCGCGGACGCTCGCGGCGGGCCAAGGCACGGCCGCCAGCGATGCGCCCCCCCAGGAAGGCGGCCCGCGCGGCTCGGGCCAGCAAGCGCCGCGCCGCGCCTGCCGCGGGCGCGGCCAAGGCTGCGGCGACACGGCGGCAGCACCTCAAGAGCAAGAGCGTCTCGCCGAAGACCGCGGCCGTCTACGAGAGCTGGCGCCAGCGGGCGGTCCGCTTCCACGGCCGCGCGCTGCCGACCGACCTGAACACGCTCGACACCATCCTCGAGGCGTTCGTCACCGAGCTGTACTTCGAGGGCGAGGCCATCAGCTCGGGCCGAATGATGTTGGCCGCCGTGGCCTTCAGCTTCAACCTCAGCTTCGGCGGCAAGGGCATCTTGCCTCGGACCAAGCGCGCCCTCCAGGGGTGGCGCAAGGAGGAACCCGAGGTGGCTCGCGATCCTTGTCCCTGGATCGCTCTCGCCCTCACCGTCGAGCAGCTGGTGAAGCACGGCGCCGACGGGCCGGCAGCGGCACGCGCCGCCGTCCTGACGCAGGACGCCTACTTCCGGCCCTCGGAGGTGCTGAACATCAGGCGCGCCGACGTCGCCGACGTCGCAGCCCGCGGACCCTTCGCGATCACCATCGCGCCCGCCATCCCTCGCTCGAAGGACGAGGAGGGCTCCGCGATGGCGCCAGCCAAGACCGGCAAGTACGACGACACGGTCCTGGTCCACGACGAGATCTCGGCGCGGGCCGGCCGCGCGTGCCTCCGCCGCCTGATGGAGGTGCTCCTGCTGGCGGCGGGCGCCTCAGGCTCGGCCAAGCTGTTCGCCAACCCGACGCTCGAAGTTCGAGCGGATCTTCGGCGCCGCCGCGGCCGAGGCCGGCCTGGAGCCCCTGCGGCTGACACCGCATA